CCAGGGTGGATGTGGTTTCTATTTTATATAAATAGGATATTAGGGAAGCTTTACATCTGAACAGTGATCTAAAGAATACCTAGGGGAAAGAGCAAGTGGAAATGCCCTGAGACAAGAATGTATTTAAGAACATGGAGTTCAGTAAGGGCAGGGGGAGCAGAGGGAGGGAGGGAGGGAGAGAAGAAATAAGACCAAAGAAGCAAAGGCAGTAAAGAGGTTGGTGTACAGCCTCATAGATCTTTTTAAGGATTCTGAATGATGGGTGCCTGGGTGGCTCAGTTGGTTAAGCGACTGCCTTCGGCTCAGGTCATGATCCCGGAGTCCCGCATCGGGCTCCCTGCTCAGCCGGGAGTCTGCTTCTCCCTCTGACCCTCCCCCCTCTCATGTGCTCTCTCTCTCAAATAAATAAATCAAATCTTTAAAAAAAAAAAGGATTCTGAATGAGATAAGAGCTTGTTGGAAAGTTTTCAACAGAGGATAGGCGGGATTTGATGTAGTGTTTTTTTTTTACCTCAAATTTTTTATTGTTATGTTAATCACCATACATTACATCATTAGTTTTTGATGTAGTGTTTCATGATTCATTGTTTGTGCATAACACCCAGTGCTCCACGCAGAATGTGCCCTCTTTAATACCCATCACCAGGCTAACCCATCCCCCCACCCCCTGATGCAGTGTTTTAATAGCATCACTTAGTCCGCTGCATTGAGAAGGGACTATGGGGGAAAAGAGCAGGAGAGAAACCAATTAGGAGACTACTTCAGTGATCAGATAATACGATGGTGGCTTGCTCTAGGTGGTAACAAGAGGTGGAATGGTTACATATAGTTGGATTTTGAGTATTTCATAAGGTACAAAACTGACAGAATTTGCCCATGGATTTGATGGAGGATGTAAGGGAAGGTAATGTTAAGGAAGACACCAGAGTTGGTTTTAGACAACTAGAAAAATGGAATCACTACTTTTTAAATTATTATTATTTTTTAACTAGGCTCTACACCCAAAGTGGGGCTTGAACTCACGACTCTGGGATCAAGAGTCACCCGCTCTACCAACGGAGTCAGTCAGGCTCCCTGTCACTATTTCTTAAGATGGCCTTAGGAGGGGCGGGACCAAGAAATTCAGCTTTGGTCATGTTAGGTTTAAGATGCCTAATAGACCTAGATGGCGATGTCAAGTAAGCGGGTAGATATATGAGTTTGCGGTTCAGAAGGAAGATCTGGGCTGGAGATAGAAATTTGGGAGCTTTTAGCCAATATTGAGATGGTCTTTAGATCATGAGGTGACAGAGGATTTAGGCAAATTATACAGGGTCTTTAGGCTACTGTAAGGACTTATAAACTTACTTAGGGAGTGAATGTAGACTAAAAGAAGGGGTCCTATGATTGAGTCTTGGGGCACTTCAACATTCAGTGGTTAGGGAGAAAAGGAGGAACAAGTAAAGGATGGAGATGGAGCAGTGCAGTACCTTGGTGAGGACAACCAGGTGAAAGTAGCATCCCAGAAGCTAAGTGGAGGGAGTAATAAGCTGTCAGATGCTGCTGACACATCAAGTAAGAGGAGGATTGATATATTTAGGCACATGGTCATCAGTGACCTTAATAAAAGATGTTTTGGTTGGGTGGCGGGGGCAAAAACTTAGAGGAAGTTCAAGAGAGATTAGGGTAAAAAAAACTACTAACAAAAATTCAGGGATGGCTGGGTGGCTCAGTTGATTAAGCGTCTGCCTTCAGCTCAGGTCATGATCCCAGGGTCCTGGGATCGAGTTGCCCTTCGGGCTCCCTGCTCAGCGGAGAGTCTGCTTCTCTCTCTACCCCTCCCCGTTGCTTGTGATCTCTCTCGGACAAATAAAATCTTTTTTAAAAAAATAAAATCTTTAAGAAAAAAAAGAAAGAGGGGCTCTTGGGTGGCTCAGTCAGTTAAGTGTCTGACTCTTGATACCAGGCCAGGTCTTGATCTCAGGGTCCTGAGTTCAGGCCCCACTTTGGACTCTGCACTGGGCATGGAGCGAACTTTTTTTTTTTTTTAAGATTTTATTTATTTATTTGACAGAGACATAGCAAGAGAGGGAACACAAGCAGAGGGGAGTGGGAGAGGGAGAAGCAGGCTTTACGCGGAGCAGGGAGCCCGATGCGGGGCTAGATTCCAGGACCCTGGGATCATGACCTGAGTCGAAGGCAGATGTTTAACGACTGAGCCACCCAGGCGCCCCAGATTTTTATTTATTTGAGCGCGCGCGCGAGAGAGCGCGCGTGCCAGCGCAGTAGCAGGGGGAGGTGCAGAGGGAGAGGGAGAAGCAGCCTTCGCGCGGATTGTGGAGTCCCACACGGGGCTCAAACCCAGGATCCCTACAGCTGAAGTCAGATGCCTAAGCGAGCCACCCAGGTGCCCCTCCAGCTTTATTATCCTATGGTCTCACTTGGTTTCCTTAATTTTTAGTTATCACAGTTTTCCCCTTAGCAGGCCCTACGTGCATTTGGATTGCAGGGTCCTGCTATAGAAGTAGTGGTTGCTGCTCACCACTAGAGGGACCCTCTGACTGTAAGAGGGTATCTACTGCACCCACTCAGCAGTTGAATGGATGATTGAAGAGGGACTGACCAGATAAGGGTGGCAGAAAGACCACTTATGCCTAAAACATGTTCAGATTCAATTCCTTTTTTTTTTTTAAAGATTTTATTTATTTATTTGACAGAGAGAGAGACAGTGAGAGAGGGAACACAAGCATGCGCAGTGGAAGAGGGAGAAGCAGGCTTCCCGCCGAGCAGGGAGCCCGACGCCGGGCTCGATCCCAGGAAGCTGGGATCATGACCTGAGCCGAAGGCAGACGCCCAACGACTTGAGCCACCCAGGCGCCCCAGATTCATTTCCTATTAGGGAAAGAGTTTTATCCTTATCCAGTCTAAAGGAGTGACTTAAACTCAAATTCAAAACTTTGACAATCCCCAGTTCCTTCTTCACTCCAATTACTTGTTCTATCATAGTTTTCTTTTTTTTTTAATTTTATTTATTTATTTGACAGAGACACAGCGAGAGAGGGAACACAAGCAGGGGGAGTGGGAGAGAGAGAAGCAGGCTTCCCGCTGAGCAGGGAGCCCAATGCGGGGCTCAATCCCAGGACCCTGGGATCATGATCTGAGCCGAAGGCAGATGCTTAACGACTGAGCCACCCAGGCGCACCTATCATAGTTTTATCATCACCTCTATTCTCCTACACCTATTCACCTACACCACACACCTAAATTATTATGGTCTAATCTGCTTGTTCTATCCACTTTTACAGAACTTTGTCAACAGATTAGTCTGAATTATTTCGATCATGTCCTAGAGGCAAAATGCATTCTACAGTTCCTCACTACCTAGTTTAAAAAAATAAAAAATTCCTCAGCTAGGGGCACCTGGGTGGCTCAGTTGGTTAAATGTCTGCCTTTGGCTCAGGTCATGATCGCAGGGTCCTGAGATCGGGCCCTTCATCAGGCTCCCTGCTCAGCGGGGAGGCTGCTTCTCCCTCTCCCACTCTCCCTGCTTGTGATCCCTCTCTCACTATGTCTGTCAAAAAAATAAATAAAAATCTTTAAAAAATAATAAAATTTTAAAAAGTCTATGGAGGGGCACCTGGGTGGCTCAGTTGATTAAGCGTCTGCTGTCAGCTCAGGTCATGATCCTGGGGTTATGGGATCGAGCCCCGCATCGGGCTCCCTGCTCAGCCAGGAGTCTGCTTCTCCCTCTCCCTCTGCCCACCCTCACCCTGCTCATGCTATCTCAAATAAAATCCTAAAAAAAAAAATTCCTCGGCTTAGCAATCAGGGTTTCCTGTGTGGTCTCCACCTATACCTACTCCCAAGATTCTCACTCAGATCTCCTCCACCATTGCTTCCACTGTGGGCTCTTCCTTGTTCTCTGAAACAAGGACCCTTCTCGTACCTCTAGACCCTTGGGTTCATGTGCAACTTTCTCCAACACTTCTAGTCCACAGTAACCTCTAATTTTCTTCCACCTAATATATTCTGTACCATTCTCTCAGAGAACTGGTATCCTTAATTATAATCCATCTAAAATGTTTTGTGTACACACAAGTACGTGTGTGCTCTTCCTGTAAACTCTTGAAGGTCAATTACTTCTTTTGACCTCCAACTACCCAGTGAATTGCTCATTAGTTGCTGCATAAATATTTGTAGAACGATCTTAACAAGATAAGGAATAGTGCTGTGGAAAGAACACTAGTTAACTTGCTTCTCTCCAAACTTCCCTACCCGCATACCTTAGAACAAGCACCCCCTCTTTGGACTAGTTTCCCATCACAGTAAAAAAGCCCTAATTAGTAACTAAGCTCCACCTCACAGAAGAGGAAAACAGAATTGAGGGAAGCAGTCTCTGTGGTCTTTTTTTTTTTCTTTTTTTAAAAGATCTTATTTATTTGACAGAGAGAGACACAGCGAGAGAGGGAACACAAGCAGGGGCAGAGGCGGAAGGAGAAGCTGGCCTCCTGCCGAGCAGGGAGCCCGATGCGGGGCTCGATCCCAGGACCCTGGGACCATGACCTGAGCCGAAGGCAGACGCCCAACGACTGAGCCACCCAGGCGCCCTCTCTGTGGTCTTCTAAGTGACACCTTAGCACCAGGTCAGGGGAAGGAAAGAGGGAATCCAAAGGCCAAATGATCTCAGGCTTGCTTTGTCCCTCCTCCTCTCCTCCTAAACTTGAGGAAGACTTTGAGCTTTGGATTCCCAGATCCGTCAGTTAAAGTAGGTTGCCACTTAGGCAATAGACCTACAGTAATTGTCTTTATGTTCATTCACGGCTTTTCCTTGTCAAGTTGAAGTTGTTCAAGTGGACAGGTGCCTGGAAGGTAGGGAATGAAGCCAGTACCAGCCTGCACCAGACTGAAGGCAGCTGGCGAGGACGCATTTGCTCAGGGCACTGCAAACAACACTGAGCCCGAGCTGAGGCAGGAGGGTGGAGCAGATGGTGTATGAAAAAGAATTAGAAAGAAACAAGAGGTCTAAATAAATGATGAAAGTTTAATACATTAAAACCAGGTATTTATCACTTTTATATTGCATTTGCCATTTCTGAACAATACAAAGTGGAGGCAAATAGTGACACTTCATAAAAATGTTGATTCCCCATTCCCTTCCCTAAGACCCAGCCTCCCTCAAATATTCCCTCCCACTCCCTACAGAACTCTGTCCTGAATAAAACACTTAAATACATCATAAATAGTAAATTATGAAAAAAAAAATAGCAAGAATTGTTTCTTTCCTTCTTGTAAAAAAGAACATGGCAGCAAAGACAGGCAGCCAGAAACTGGCTGGGGGTGTCTAATATAGACAGTTACTTGGGGGACGGGCTAACCTACTATCAAGGTCGGGCAGGATGGAGACAGGACAGTATTCAATAATCTGCCTGAGATGCCTCCTTAGTCCCCAGACAGGAGAAGGAGGATCAGGTGGGGAACCGCAACTCTTGGGAGATGGGGTACAGGTGGATTACACAGCTCCCATTTCTGAGTTCTCTGCAGCAATGACCTCACCTAGGCAAGAATCTGCTGGCTCCCCGTGCGTCTAAGCGAATATTCTCTAGCCTCATAGATACAGACTGCCTGTTAAACGGACACAGGTGTCCCTTCTGCACCTCAGCTCCTCCTTCCAACGCTGTCGGAAAAGGTGGGAAGAGCAAGGAATAAACCTCCTTTTGAGAAGGATCCAAATTCATTTGATTAAGTCTTCATATTTAGAAAAACAAGCAGAATACATTTCCAATTGCAAAACAGTAATAATTGTGATGGCCTGGCAGTAAGCCGGGTCCTGCCTAGCAAGGGCTCTGATCTTCTGGTCCCATGACTGCTCTACTGTTCAACAAAAGGGGTAAAGATTACCCCATGTCCCACTCTCTCCATTCCTTCAGCCTTAAGAAATTCATCAAGAGAGGAGTTGTTAAAGAGGAGCTGCTTCTGGCAAAGCAGCTCCTTAGTTCCATTTCTCAAACACCAGGGGGCTCTTCTGAGGGAACCCCACAAACAGGCATCTCTCCCAACACTGATACAGTTTTGATCTGACACTGTCTGGCTTCAAATTGTGGGCTGTGTGCTAGTTTTTCTTTTCCTTTTTTTAAGGAAAAAAAAGGAAGGTGGGAGTTGGCTTAACACCCTGACTCCCCAAAACCTTTACAAAGATTACAAGGGTCTTCTTCCAGAGAAAGCATGAAGGCGGAGATAATGTGCCAGCCAGTCTGTCCTGAGGAAGTTAAGAGTCCAGCTCCCAGTGAAAGGTAGGTGAAGAGGAAGAAAACCACCAAGTCCAGCAACCCCACTTCCAGCAGGAAGAATGGGGGCTTGAAAACAATTCCATTGTGGAAACCAAGGCTGGTCAGTTGAAAACTCGTGCCCACTAACTCAGAAGTGGAGAAGATGCTGCTGTCCTCAACTGTCTGAGGCACCAATGCCCATTCGTCAGGAAGGGGAAGGAGAAGAGGTTCTTCAGAAAGGAAACCGAGAGCTCCCCTCGCCTCCATTACACTCCTTTTGTGATGACCACGAAGAAGAAAACTCAGCATTGCTGGGGCAAGGGCTGGCTTCTTGGGATCACTAAGCTGGTAGAATCTTGTTCCAGGTCTTCTGAGTTTTTTTGCTCACTGGAAAGGGAAAGAGAAAGGGTGTAAAGTTAAGGCTGTGGAGTATGAAATGAGGAGGCAGGAATGGAATTCAAGTTCATTTCAGCCTGACTGGCAGAGTTAGGTTTTCTTCTACTTCATCCTCTGCTTCCAAGTACAAGGTCCCCACAAAATTTAAAAAGGCAAGATTGAAAGGGCACCCAGTTCCTGTAACCTTGCAAATTAACTCCCTGTTCCACTCCATCAGTGATCCTCCTTATACCCTTCAAATAAAGCATTCACCTCCCCCACATCCCAGACACTCACATGGGTGAACTCTGACTCTGCAACTTCAGGCTTTTCCAAGAGGGTTGAACTAACAGGAGAAAAAAAAAATGGAGGCAGAGAGAAGAATTAGAAGATAAGGAAGAGAAAGGACGATCCTCTCACGTCAGATCTCGTACTGCTTATCCATATTTCACTTCAAGATCAACTTAGGATTCAGAAAGAAGAGGCTGGGGCGCCTGGGTGGCTCAGTCGTTAAGCGTCTGCCTTCAGCTCAGGTCATGATCCCAGGGTCCTGGGCCCCGCATCGGGCTCCCTGCTCCGCGGGAAGCCTGCTTCTCCCTTTCCCACTCCCCCTGCTGTGTTCCCTCTCTCGCTGTCTCTGTCAGAAGAGGCTAAGAAACTACCAGACTTAGAAGCATGTTGTTTTAATTAATAGTTAATTTAATTAACTAGCTTCTTGAGTACTACAAAAATATTTCCTAATCCCTCCCCTTCTGTCCTCAATTCCCAGGTGTGGTAGGCACTCAGTGATCACTGCTGCCTGATATTTGCACCATTGTGTAATTCTCTCCTCTTGAATGAGGTCTGGATTTAGTGACTCTCTTCCAGAGGACAGAATGTAGGCCAGGTGATGGAACATCAATTCTGAGATTAGGTTACAAAAAGACCCTACCTAGGGGCGCCTGGGTGGCTCAGACGGTTAAGCCTCTCTGCCTTCAGCTCAGGTCCCAGGGTCCTGGGATCAAGCCCCACATCGGGCACCCTGCTCAGCAGGAAGCCTGCTTCTCCCTCTCCTACTCCCCCTGCTTGTTTTCCCTCTCTCTGTCTCTATGTCAAATAAAATTAAAAAAAAAAAAAAAAAAAAGACCCTACCTAGCTTCTTCTTGGGCTCGAGCTCTCTCACTAACTGTTTGCTCTGAGGGAAGCTAGCTGCCACATGGGGAAAGCATGTGACAAGGAACTGAGGCAGGACCACTGGCCAACAGCCTGCAAGGAACCGAATCTTGCCAACAACCACATAAGTGAGCTTAGAAGTTGATCATCCCTCGGGTCGAGCCTCCAGATGAGACTACTTCCCTGACTAACAGCTTCACTGTAACCTCCTGAGAGACCCTGAGCCAGTGGCACCCAGCTAAGTCACTCCTAGATATTTAAGCTGCATAAAATCTGAGATAATAAATGTTTATAGTTTTTAGCTGCCACGCTGGGGGTAATTTGTTATACAATAATATAAATTTTTGTACCTGGAAGTGAAGTGCTACTGAAATTTTTAAAAAACTAAAAAGTGGAAGTGGCTTTGGAAGAGGGAAGTGGGCTTTAAGCAGCATTTTAGTGAAAGTTTAAAAGTGCCATGAATATACTGTAGAATTTAGACTTGAATGAGGGAGTTGCCAGTGTGGGCTCAAAGGCAAGTGAGAAAAATCTTACGGGAAACTGAAGGAAAGGGATCCCTGTAATGCAGTGGAACAAAGTTTTGCAACAATGTCATATGCAGTTACGTGAAAAGCAGAATATGTGTCTAATGAATTGGGTGATCTACCTAAGGAGAATTCTAAACAAAGTGCTAAAGGTGCCACCTGGTTCCTTCTTAATGCTTATAGTAAAATGAGAAGAAAAAAATTAAGGGAAGGACTATTAAATAAAAGGACGACTTGCCAGGATTGATGGTTTTGAAAATTCTGAGCCCCTCCAGCAGATAGCAAACAATGCTATAAAATTAAGAAACAGTTTGTGAGCAAGCATAAAACCTGGGCACTGCCAGGAAAATGTGGTCTAGAGACAAAGCCAAGTTATGACTGTAAAATATTTAAGACTTCAGAAAAATCAAAGTTGGTTCCTTACAGTACTGTTCAATCATACAAAAGACCATTCAAAAACATCACCCAGATCCTCTCAACTTAACATCTCTAAGAAGCACAGGGCTTAGGAAGAAGGTATCTGTGGTGTGGCTTTTGTCGAGGGCACTGAATTCCAGTGAGACTCACGGGAGGCCCACAAAATCTTTGAGGGCATTATAACAGCAGAAACATTCACAGCTTGGACTGACTGAAAGGGACAGACACAGTGCAAAATGAAGAAACCACTGGACCCCAAAATTGTACTGGCAGGAAGCAGGCTGAGTAAATTACTCAGCTGCAAACACATGCTAGCTTTCATGAAAAAGGAAGACTCAGAAAGCAAAACCACGAGTTCAAAGGGTGGAGTCGAGAGTCATGGAGAATTACCCCCAACTTATCCTCTGATCAAAGCAACTCCAACAGTTGCTGGATTTTGGACTAGCTCTGTGCCTCCCTCACTCTTCCTGCACAGGAGTGTTCAGTGGTTAGCTACTTACTGCCTCACCATTGTCTGCTGGGTGTGCAGCGAGAAAACAGCTATCTCTTTAGTTTCACAAGTCCAAAGACTGAGAGCAACCGTACTCATGGAACAATACCTGGGGAGCTCCTCCAAACCAAGACCTACTTGAGATGACAAAATTCTGGAATTTAAGCTGCTGCTCTAACGGGATGAGACTTTTGAAGACCGTGGGCGCAAATGAATGCATTTTGCACAGGGAGGGATAGGAATCACTGGGGGCCAGAAGATGGACTGTGATAGGTCACTTTTGAGGTGGCTCCCAGTGAGTTCTGCATCCTGGTATTCACACCTTTGTGGAATCCCTTCTTTGTGAGTGTGGGCTAGATTCAGTGACTAGAATGCAGTACTGGTGATAGTATGTCAATTCTGAGATTAGGTCACAAAAAGATTATGAATTCTGCATAGGTGCATGCACTCTCAATTGCTCACTCTGAGGGAAGCCAGTTGCGATGTTGTGAATTGTCCTAAGGAGAGGCTCATGTGGCAAAGAACCAAGGGAGGCCCCCAGCCAACTGCCAGCAAGGAACTAAGGCCCTCTGTCCAGCAACCCACAAGGAACTGAATCCTGCCAATAAGCATATACATGAGCTTAGAAGTGGAGCCTCTCAGCTGAATCTTCAGAAGAGATGGGAGGCCCAGGCCAACACCTCATGAAACACCTTGAGCCAGAGGACCCAGCTAGGCTGTACGCACATTCCTGACTCACAGAAACTATGATATGTGTTTGTTATTTTAATCCACTAAGTTTTGGGTTAATTTATTATGATGGAATAGATAATCAACACACCATGTAACAAAATTAAATCACAACCTTTAGAATGGGTCCTTTTAAAAGATTGTTCATTTTCTTCACTGCCCAGCAATCTTTCCAGGCTTACAAAGTAAGCTGAGAATTCTCACCTAACTCACCAAGAGATAAAGGGTTAGTTGGGGTGTATTTTGACTATCAAAATAGTCTGCACACCCCCTAAAGATGCAGAGATATTGACACACTTCTCCAAATCACTAAAGATGAGCTAAAGGAAAGTAAACCTGGAAAAATCTAGTGAAGAGCAAAAGACAAACAATGATCTCTTGAAAAAAAAAAATTATGGAGGTTCCCAAGGACCTGAAGAGAGAGAGATGAAAAGATTATATGAAGAAAGGGGCCAAGGAACCAACCTTGTAGTTTGCATTTGCAAAGTCTCTCCAACTACAGGTGAGAAATAGGGGTCAGGAATAGTCGAGACCTCACTGACTTTCTCCAAAGGTGGAGTCTGAGGTAAAACATCAGGACGACCGAAGTGGACGCCTGGAAAAAAGAAAAGGGAAAAAAATCAATAAATAAAAAAGAAGACAAAATGGGGTGGGGGAAATACAGGGGGGAAAAAATGTAGCAACTTGGCTTTTCCTGAATAGGAACAGGGAGTAGAGGTCCTAGGCAGATAAGACAGGGCTCAGAAGGAAGGGAGGGAGTGCCCAATCACATGGGAACCCCAGCCCTGGCGCTGACCTGGCTCCACTTCCGCCTTGGTTGTCACTTGTGCCTTGTGCTCCCCAGAGACCGATGTCTGGTAAGTAATGCAGGAGTTGCCGCTGGGGCCTGCTCGCCGAGAGAAAGATGAGCCAGACCGAAACTTTTTGGAAGGAGAGGGCTTCACTTCAAAAGGGAAAGAGAAAGCCTACTTAGCACCCACCTGAGAAACCATCACCAAGACATAGATACAAATTGCTAGCATCCCCAACACAAACCCAAAGGTGCTCTGCAAAGCGGGAAGAAGGACTAATGTCAACAAAGACAGGCTCTACGAACTACTCTTTCAGAGGAGAGGGTGTGCATCTCGGTTCACCTCACTTTGGAAAGCAGAGAACCAAGACGAAAGCAGACACATACATATCTTGCCCCCGCTACACACAACCTCCATGGCTTTGCTTCCACCGGATGAGATGTCCTCCATTCCGTCACTCCCTTGTTCTTTAATAGCATCCTCCAGTTCAAGCAGACGAAGAGGACCCTTTCACTCTGCATCCTTGTAGCACTTATGCACACAGCACCGTGATACTTTACACTTGCTTATATGTCACGCTGAAAAGACTTTGAGGGGATTTCCTCACGTTTCTTAAGACTGTCTGGCATGCCTAAGTCCCCTCTGCCGCACCGATGGGGCGACGGAGGCCTATGATGAGGCGGCGGGAAGGAGGAGCTGGAAATTTGCCAATGGCAGCACCACTGAAAGGCTGGGAAAGAAGAATACTGGCACCTTCCAGCCAAGAAAGTTGAGGGAAGAGAGTAAGAACGACTGCTAAGCAGAAATCAGTATATGCTTCTCCAACCCTTTGATCCTAGTCTGAGAGTCCTTGGCACTGGGGATATGAAGAGAAAACAAAACACTGGTAACATCTTCACCTATCTCTGTCTGTAGGTCTGCCTCTATCTCAGCCTATGCCATAGGATCCTACTCCCACAATGACACTTTCCTCCCCCCTCCCCCAATCCCACCAATTTCCCAGAAATGCCCCTCACCTCAATGACACACGAAGGGAGAGCCAGGGGAAAAGCAGCAACTCGGAAACCACTGGGACAGACAGAGTGACTGACATAAAGACGGGCAGCAGCTCTCACGGGATGTGGGTAGAGCAGAAGAGGCTTTGGCAGTTCCCTGACAGAGGTGTCTTGCCCACCCATCTCCTGGAGTAAGGGAGTCATTGGGGGGTCATCTGGTAGAAGCCACTTACGGGGTATCTTCTTGAACACCGTGCTGCACATGAAGCGCTGGAACCGTTCAGCATAGAAGCCTGGGCGATGCACCGATACGGTGTCCTGCAGAGCAGAAGACATGGCTGCAGAGTTAAAGAGGGGGAGGCCCAGCAAGAGGATCGCTATTTAGTCCAAGGGCCATTTTCCTCTAGGCTGAGACCCTAGCAGAAGGGTAGAACCCACAAATGAAATAAGAAAGAAAGAAGAAACTGAGGGGGCAAATCAGAACTAAAGGAGGCGGGAGGAGGGCCTCTAGCAAACTGCTACTCACCCCATCATGTACCAGGGCTTTCCAAGAGTGCTCCAACTTCTTAACAAACCTGCCAAGAAAAATGTGTGTCACATAGTCACAGAATTTTTAAATGAATGACAGTTTTCTCTTTTATGAAGTTAAAGAAGCTGGGAAAGCACTCCCTCTATTACACTGGCTTTCCAAAGAACAGACACAGTAGTGCTCGTTCAGGACGGAGATCAAAGCTGTCTCTAGGGAAGTTAATTACCTCCCCCATGGAAAAAGGGAACTTAGTATGTCCCTGGCAAGTCAGGGACAAGAACATTTATTGCAAAAGGAGAAATGAAGGGATATATGCACATGCCTGAAGAGGGGAGTTAAAACTGGATGATAATACTCTGAAACAGTCAACCAAGGATTGTCCAGTCATTAGTAGCTGAAACCTGTTTTTAGGGGTAAAACTGGGATGTAACATTTCCAGATCCTCCCTATCACTTCACTGCCTCAGTTCCATAGGTTAATAGCATAGGACACAGTGATCCTCTTGTTTTTCCTCCAAGGAAAAGAGGAACATGTTTCCAGCTGTATCCCAACGTGGAGTATGACTCATCTCCCAGGTTTTTCACAAAGAGCCAGACAGATGGTGTATTCTACCCTGGTGCTTCTGAGGACTGACTCAGCTCTCCACAGAGGTATACGTTATGGTTGGGAAGGTGGCAGGGTAATGAAGTCAAGGAGACAGGCAAAATCAAGGAAATAAACCACCATCTGAAACCTGATGAGGTAAGCAGCTAGAATGCAACTCTGTTCCTGTTTCAGGAAGAGTGACAAACCCATCTAAAGGAGAAATGTGAATGGTTATCCGCAACCACTCTGCCCCCTCATTTGGGATCCATATGCTCCTCACCTGTAAGACTGGAGAATGTCAATGATCCCAATATAAAGCAGCAGCCTTTCCCCTTTACTATTGCGGGCAGGGATGCCACCCATACTGTTCCGGAAGACAAGAAGAAAACAGTAAGAAAATCTCTGGCCTAGCACAAGGGTTTCTCCTAACCTCGAGCCAGATCAGGACAGGGAACTGAGACCTAACCATAACTGTCCCATCTTCCATAAACTGGGGAAGAGTGAAAACCTTCCTCCAACTCCAAGAGCCGCTCTGGAGTATGTATTATAACCTCTTTCTCTCCAAGTCTCACTCGCCTGCCTCTCCGACCCCAATTCCACCAAAGAATCTAAAGTCACCCCTACTCAGCTACACTGGAAAAGCTCAGATAACTCTGAACTTGCTCAGTACTTTCATATTCTAATTCACACCCACTAGGACACTCTTCTTGAGAGTCACAGTAAAGGCAACCTTAAAAATGAAACCACTTACAAGACATTTATGATGCTTCAGTAAATACACTTCCTTGATAGATCCGTGATGGTAAGAAAGACTCCTTCCATAAAGCTGCCTATAGTAAATTACTTTTGGTGAAGTTCTAATAGAATATGCAGACATGTGTCTCGGACTCTGAGTATATTCTTTTTGAAAGGTGTTTTAATTTTAAATAGTTCTCCTTCCCAGATGTACTAGAGATCCCCAATTTAAGCCCTCTTCCTTTCCTTTTACATTCTTAAGCAGGCTTGTTCTATAGTTTCATAAGTGTTAATACTGTCAACTTAACTGCTGAATTGGGGCTACTCTGATGCCAGGAGCTGCATCCTTTCCTCAAGAAAAAAAAAAAATGCCGTGTCTACGCTCTCCTTCCTGGTGCCCCTGAGCCCACTCACTGGTCATCAGTCTCCATGGTGCCACCTCGCCGAGCCTCGCCCTGGATAGATTCCATAGCTGTGGAATAAAGAGCCTTTTGGGGGGCTGGTCTGCGAGTGTCAGCTGAGGATTGTGCTTCACTGCCTAAGGGCTCTCGTTGAGCATGATCTATGTTATGGATCGACATCAAGAGGCTATAGTCCATTATCTTGAAGCTCTGCAGCACCTAATGAAAGGAAAAAAACAAACCATGTTCTGAGCCTTGGGAGGTATGAGGATTTTTTTCAGGATCTCACAGCTTTCCTAATTATTCTTTCTTTAAGATTTTATTTATTTATTTGACAGAGAGAGACACAGTGAGGGAGCACAAGCAGGGGGAGTGGGAGAGGGAGAAGCAGGCTTCCCGCTGAGCAGGGAGCCCGATGCGGGGCTCAATCCCAGGACCCTGGGATCATGACCTGAGCCGAAGGCGGAAGCCTAACGACTGAGCCACCCAGGTGCCCCCTATTTTTATTTTTAATTTTTTTTAAAGATTTTATTTATTTGAGAGAGAGAGCATGGGAGGGGGGAGGATCAGAGGGAGAAGCAGAATCCCCGCTGAGCACGGAGCCTAATGCAGGGCTCAATCCTGGGACTCTGGGATCATGGCCTGAACTGAAGGCAGACGCTTAACCGACTGAGCCACCCAGGCGCCCTCATTTTTTTTATGACTTTATTTTTTTAAAGATTTGAGAGGGAGACAGAGAGAGAGGGGCACATAGGGAGGGGGAAGCGCAGAGGGAGAGAAAAACTTCAGCAGACTCCACGCTCAAGGTGGAGCTGATGCAGGGCTCATTCTCACGACCTTGAGATCACAACCTGAGAAAACCAAGAGTCGGATGCTCAACTGACTGCACCACCCAGGGGCCCCTAAAGGTTTTATTTTCAAGTAATCTCTAGGGGCGCCTGGGTGGCTCAGTCACTTAAACGTCTGCCTTTGGCTCAGGTCATGATCCCAGGGTCCTGGGATCGAGCCCCACGTCCAGCTCCTTGCTCAACAGGGAGCCTGCTTCTCCCTCTCCTTCCTACTTGAGCTCTCTCACTATCTCTGTATCTCTCTTAAAATAAATACATAAAATCTTTTTTTTAAAGATTTTATTTATTCATGAGAGAGAGAGAGAGAGAGAGAGAGAGAAGCAGAGGGAGAAGCAGGCTCCCAAGGAGCAGGGAGCCCGATGCGGGACTCGATCCCAGGACCCCGGGATCATGACCTGAGCCGAAGGCAGACACTGAACCATCTGAGCCACCCAGGCACCCCAATACATAAAATCTTAAAAAATATATATATTTTTTTAAATTTCAAATAATCTGTATATCCAACGTGGGGCTTGAACTCACAACCACAAGATCAAGAGTTGCACATTCCCCCAACTGAGCTACCCAGGTGCCCCAAGATTCAATTATTCTTGACCTCCAGGGTTAACTATAGGCTTATCCTTTGCTTCTCCTACTCCCTGGAGAAAAATGTATTAATCTCCTCATTATTTCTATCCACTCAGCTTTCTTCTATTTGAGTAAATATATATTAGGCCACTGACTAGCCCACAACACCCTCTGTTTGTTCTTTCCTTCTATCTATTTGTGAAAAGAGCATTACGTTCTCAATGGAACGTGGAATACGTATTTGTGCTGTAAAGAATCCACAAGGAAGGTGTGGTAAAAGTACATTTCATGATGGAGTATATCTGTTGCAGGACTTTATATAACCAGCTTTGATTCGGTTCAGTATTTACTGAAGCCCTACCACCTGTAGGCGTTGTGCCTGTTTATGGGGATACAAAGATACTCCAGAGTTTCTGTTCTCAACAATATTATCATTTAGGAAAGAAAATAAATGTAAAAATAAATCCAATACAGCCTAATACATGCAACAACAGAAGTGCTTACATGATTGATAGTATGGAGGAGGTCAGGAAGTGATACGTAAATAAGTTTATGAAGAATAAATTAGAAAGTAAGTCCAAACAAATAAAGGAAGGAATACTCCAACGCCTGGAAGCATGAAACAAACAGCACATTATGTGCAGGGAGGTATAATTTCATACTGCTAAAACAGAAAATGCAAAGGACAGGTGTGGCAGATTACAGAGACTGATAGAAGCAAAAATAATGACAGGCTTGATATATCATATTAAGGACCCCAGATTTTTTTTTTTTTTGAAGATTTTATTTGACACAGAGAGACAGAGAGAGTGCACGCACGCGCATGCATGCATTCCCCGCTGAGCAGAGAGCTCATTGTGGGGCTTGATCCCAGGACTCTGGGATCATGACCTAAGCCAAAGGCAGATGCTTAACCAACTGAACCACCCAGGCGCACCAAGAAGCCTGGATTATATCCTATAGTTCTCAACCCTCTTTCCATCCCAGAACAGAGTGCAAAAGGGTATACTCTCACCAGTTCCAGTAGCCCACTTTGGTGATGCAGCTCAACCAAAGGTGTTTTGCTAGGTTGGTGGAGAAAGGGATGAAGAAAGCACAGGAGTGATTCTTATGTATACTTTCTTTCTTTCTTTCTTTTTTTTTAAAGATTTTATTTATTTGACAGAGAGAGACACAGCGAGAGAGGGAACACAGCAGGGGGAGCAGGAGAGGGAGAAGCAGGCTTCCCGCTGAGCAGGGAGTCCAATGAGGGGCTTGATCCCAGGACTCTGGGATCATGACCTGAGCCGAAGGCAGACGCTTAACAACTGAGCCACCCAGGCGCCCCTTATGTATAGTTTCTTAAAACAACTCTTTATTCTACTGTGTCCAGTCCTTTCAACCAAAGGAGCCAAACTAAAATAAGCATTACCCTACAAGTAGATGCAGAGTAAGCAAAGGACAAGGATGGACAACGTTATGGAGTAGAGGAAGATGATCCTACAATAGCAGTTGAGAAAAAAAACAATCAGAGATGCAAAAAAATCAGTAGGAAAAGGTGTCACAAAATCCAAAAGAAGGTACGTTAAGAAAATGGAAATAAACTTTCAAGCAGCAGAAAATGCAAGTAAGGACTGAGAAATATTCTCTACTTGGCATCCCAGGTGGGCACTAGGGAGGGTAGTTCAACTGAAGGGGTGAGAGCAAAAGCCATGACAGTGAGTTGAGGCAGGAATAGAACATAAATGAAAAGGAAAAATGGAAGCATTATTACATGGAGACAATGGAAGTAAAAAACAAACAAACAAACAAAAAAAAAACTCCAGGGGCACCATGGTGGCTCAGTTGGTTAAGTGTTTGCCTTTGGCTCAGGTCATGATCCCAGGGTCCTGGGATCGAGGCCCGCACTGGGCTCCTTGCTCCGCGGGGAGCCTGCTTCTCCCTCTCCCTCTGCCTGCAGCTCCCCCTGCTAGTGCTCTGTCAAATAAATAAAATCTTAAAAAAAAAATAAAATAAAAAATCCTCCTAACCTTAAGATGGAAGAGATAAAAGTTGGCTTGCATGCAGAAAGAAAACAGTTGGTAGAGGCTGAAGCCAGGGGAGGGAAAGGAAGCAAGATGTGAAACAGAACCCTAAAGAAACAGTCCTGAGAAGTGACTGACCTGGAATAAGCCACCAAATTGGGCAGAAAGAAGATTAAAGATGGGTAAGTATAGACATGTTTATAAACTGGGGCTGGGAGCAGGACAAGGGGGTGGTATGGAATAGAAGAGTGAGGTAATCTGTTGAGAAACAAGGCTGGGGTATTAAGAGTTAGAAAATGGTTTGGAGAGAGTGCCAATCGTGTGACACCTGTGCTGAGAGGAACAGGAAGTGGAATGGTGAACAATACTGAGGCTGGATAGTGTCAACATGTAGAGATGTTGGTAGAATAGACATAGGTGTGTGATTTCCTTCAGCAGCACTCAGCTTCCAAGATATAAATTTGAATCTGGCAGGCAGGACCAAGATCTGAGGAATGATGGTGCTGGTATGAAAATAAGGAAACTGTAGGATTATGAGGCCTAGGAGAGGTAAAGAAAATGAAGCCAGGTGGGGGAGGATAAACAGAATGTAAAAATATAAAGACTCAGCAATAACCTAATGTAAAAGTTATTTTAAATAAAGTCTGGGACATACAGAGCTAAGGAACTGAGTCCCATCCCATACAGATTTGAACCCTAAGAACAAAAAGCTGTTTTAGTGGCTGAGATTTTTGGTATCTGAGAGGGAAGGAAATATGATAAACTCACCAAACAGTCACGCTGTAGGGTCTTACATAGAGCGTTGTACATGTCAGCATCCAAAAAAAGACCATCTGGAATGTCTTGTAAGAAGTCCAGGTCTTTAAAGGTGGGGAGAGGCTTCTCTCGCTCTTTTTGGGAAGCCCGCCGTTTGTAGGTAGAACCCTTGAGGTCATATTTGATGTGCATCTTGACCGACCGTGGTAAGAGATTGTTCATCACCACAATTCGAATGTTCTTACCACCTGCCTGCACACAGTACAGCCCATAGAATTTAGGCAGCAAAGTTCGAGGATTCTGGTTGAGGTTCTGAGGGGACAAAAGTAAAAAGAAGCAGGAGAGCAAGTCAGCTGATTTTCAGTGAAACTCAAGGGTAAAAGTTGCCACCCACCTTCTTTGTCTGCTATATGGGATTCAGGTACAATCTATCTGCCCATAAGCCCACATCATATTTGTTTACAATTGCCCAATACATCTATCTTCAGGAATCGGATCACACCAAGCTGAGCCACAGACCCTCCAATACAGTAATCAGTCAGGATACTCAATATATGATGGGTATATTCTTTTAGAGAGATTTAAGAAAAGATCGTGTTGAAAAAGTCTTAACTCTAAGCCCTTAGTACAGTATATTCTTGTGGGTGTGATGCAAAGCAAAACTAACTTCTCCAGAAGCTCCAAGAGCTGTCAGTCAGAGTAAGATGGAGTAGAGTACTATCAAGAGAAGTAACCAACCTCATTTCCTAGTATAGGATGACTAAGAACAGAAAACAAAATTATCACTGAATTTCAACTTTGGGTAGGATAGTCTAAGTCAAATAACACTTAAAATAGGACAGATAGGGGGGTGCCTGGGTGGCTCAGTTGTTAAGTGTCTGCCTTCAGCTCAGGTCATGACCCAGGGTCCTGGGATCGAACCCCACATCGGGCTCCCTGCTCAGCGGGAAGCCTGCTTCTTCTTCTCCCACTCCCCCTGCTTATGTTCCCTCTCTCGCTATGTCTCTGTCAAATAAATAAAT